TCTTTCTTTCTTTCTTTCTTTCTTTCTTTCTTTCTTTCTTTCTTTCTTTCTTTCTTTCTTTCTCTCTCTCTCTCTCTCTCTCTCTTTCTTTCTTTCTTTCTTTCTGTGCCATCCATCTCACTAATATAAGAACTATGGGCAGCTTACTATACCTTCCTTCCTTTTGCATCCTGATTTTCTTAGCACACCTTCAGGAGCCAGACGCCCTTCTTAAGGCACAGGCAGCATTAAAGGAAAGACTTTTTTCTGAGAATAAGGCTGCTGCAGTTAGGAAAGAAAAAGGCAAAACAGCAAATTCTTGCAGATAAGAATTTAATTGAACAAAGACAAACTCCAGGTCCAGCTGTCCAAGCTAAAAATTTATGATACCATATCAGTGGAGAAATGAGGTCTTAGCCAATTAACATGCCATGGTTGTAAAAAACTGGTTTGCAGAAAAGAATCATACACCATGAAGCCAGAAACTCAAGTGAGCAGGGTACAGAGACCTCAGGAGGAATGGAAGGGGGAGGGGGAAAGTAAATGCCTGAAGCAGTCTGTGTTGCAGCTGAGTCTGATTCCCAAAGGCATGATACTTTCAAAAATGCAGAGGGGAAAGTGTTAAATGGGTAGGGAGAAAGTTTTGTGGTGCACTGGAAAAATAAGATTGAATAGTGTACATTCGCACACTCTTATATACACCCCTAATTCATATAGTTCTTGGTCACTAAAAGTTGACATTTACCTGATGCAAACCCTAAATTCCAGGAAGATCTTCACAGATTCTAAATGAGTGCTGCATATAAAATAGAGGAAAGAACTTGGAATAGCCCTCTCAAATAAGTCATTGTTTGCACATGATATCTAAATCATTCTATGAACATATTTGGAACATATACTTGGTAGCCATGTTACACTTGAGAAATATATTTAGTTTTAGAAAATGTTATGACACAAATAGGCATTTGCTTCCTTTGGTGTGGTTAATAGAAATAGATTTGATTTGTTTGTGACTGATTCCTGAGGGTTGGAATAGTGTGTCAATATATTTGGAGGATGAATATTAAATTAGTCCTTATATGTCAATGATGTTTGTGAATTTCTTTAAGAAGGCAATAATTTTGGTTAGAATACTTCATTGTTAGCCTCCGTCCTTCCCGCAAAAATCTACTTGGACCCATAGACAGGCATGAAACCTAAATATGTAACATAAGTAAGAGATATAAGGAAGCATAGCTGCTTACGCCTGTTAAGTAGGGAGGACTGGAATTGGTTCCTACGTAGGTGGATTAAATATATAGGGCTGGAATTCTAAGATTTTCAAATTTATATGCAAAGTTATTAGGCTATTGTAGGCCATTAGTTCTTTCCCCTGTTAATTATCTTATTTAGGTACAATAGGACTAATTTATATCTTAACTATTCTTTTTGAAATTCAGCTATCTGACAAGCCCATAATTTTATCATCAATAATATGGTTCCTTCTGATACATTGAGAATGATATATACATTGCATTGGGAGAGTTATACTTCTCTGTATTGTTTCCAATAAAAAATTCCATCATTGTGTCTATTGTCAATTACAGGGGAAATAAGCTAATATTCTTTAACTGTAGTATGATATCACATTGATATTCTTTGAAAGGCTTAGTTTAAGAAGAATATTGACATGGCGTGATCAAGTCTTATCTCTGTTTACTGTCTGTCATTTCAGAAGTTATATCCATATTGGTAATTCAGAAAAATGAGCAATAGTTCTGCAGAAATAAAAATACCTTACAAATAAATTGTAAGGTGACTTACAATTACAATTAAACCCAAATTTTCTGTTGCTAAGGCAAGACAGTTGATTATTTTGCCGCATTTTACAACCTTTCTTACCAAAGTTGTTAAGTTAGTAAAACAGTTGTAGAGTGAATCTGGCTTCCTATTGACTTTGCTTCAGAGGTGGCATTCAGCTGGTTCTCTCCTGTTCAAGTGAACCGGTACAGTAACTGTGGGGGGCTCTGCCCACCCACCCTGACTTAATGAGTGACCTTCTGCATATGTGCACAACGCAGGGTGCATGCACAGAAGGTGGCACACGAACACTCACATTTGCGAATTGGTAGGAACGTGGTGGCTTAGTGGCTAAGACGCTGAGCTTGTTGATCAGAAAGGTTGGCGGTTCAGTGGTTCAAATCCCTAGTGCCATGTAACGGAGTGAGCTCCCATTATGTGTCCCAGTTTCTGCCAACCTAGCTGTTTGAAAGCATGTAATAATGCAAGTAGAAAAAATAGAGACCACCTTGGTGCAAAGGTAACAGCATACCGTGCACCTTTGGCATTTAGTCATGCTGGCCACATGACCACAGAGATGTCTTTGGACAGCACTGACTCTTCTGCTTTGAAACAGAGATGAGCACCACCCCCTAGAATCGGGATCAATTAGCACATATGTATGGGGGGAACCTTTACCTTACCTTTAGGGAAGGTAAGTGAATCCCACCGCTGCTTTGCTTGTCAGAAGATCACAAAAGGTGATCATATGAACTTGGGATATTGCAACCATAATAACTATGAGCAGTTGCTAAGTGTCCAAATTTTAATCACATGACCATAGGGATCCTGCAACAGTTGTAAGTATGAAAAATGGTGAGAACTCACTTTTTTCAGTGAGATAATTTTGAAAAGTCGCTAAATGAAAGGATATAAGTTGAGGACTACCCGTTCCCTAAATATCATAGAATTGTATTTTCTGCTGTGATTGTTAGGCTGGTGTTGTTGTAAATGCTCCAAAAGTTTTGCATTATTCCTTTTTTTAACTCCTGTTTTATCTAATTTAAATTAGCTTATGGGTAAAAAATAAATTAACAGAAACGGGAGAAAAAAATGGAATCATGTTACCAAGTATGGAATATCAGATCCACAGGTGAAGGTCCAGTTAAACTGATTTATTGCTAGTCATGTTATGGAGAAAAATCTTGTCAACTAATGGTTAGCATCTGCTTGGGGTTAGATAAGGTCAATGGGAGATTGGAGTTATTTTGCTTGTGGCTACTAGGAATTCTGGGTTAGTCCCTCATTCAACTCTTCCTCCAGGTTCTGCAACTCCATTTCACACAAAAGCTTTTGAATGAAATTGGACTTGGTGATTCTCTGATATTATTTACTCTGCATTACTAACAATTGTATGATTATGGAGCCAATAAATGTTTGGCTTTTTTATTGCATCTATTTGTTGAACTAGTCAAAGATGGAAATTGTGTTCTGCTCAAAATGGAAGCATTGATGCAAATAAATTATAGCAATTGTAATATTAAGGTTGACAGAATTAACAATCACATGCCCTGTTTCTATTACTATATAAATCTCTCTCCCACCACCCCATTTTTATTGTAATATATTTTCTTCATATAGTAATTATGTTTTGATTCTCATTTTTCCTTTGCAGTGCTGCACTCCCATGGTCCCATTGATGGCAGCCTTTATGCTAAAGTGAGGAAAAAAAGCTCCTCTGATGCCAGCATTCCAAGCAGAATCAAAGGTGTTGCAAGTAATAACTCTGATCATAGTGATCATACCCTATCTGTGAGTAGTGATTCAGGACATTCTACAGCTTCTGTAAGGACAGAAAAAACTGAGGAACAACCTCCAGTAGTAAAACCAATCTTGAGTCTTCGGGAGAAGGAAGAACTTGATCAATTGCTTAGTGGATTTGGTTTAGACAACTCAATCATTCTGTTCATGGATATGACTGATGCCCAAAGCAAATATAGTGGGACTCAGCATATAGTGCCAGCCCAAGTTCATGTTAATGGACATGACAAACCCAAGGAAAGAGAGACAGATATTCTAGATGATGAGATGCCCACTTATGATCTTCACAGTGTGGATAGTATTGGAACATTGTCTTCCTCTGAAGGTCAGCAGCCTAACCAGCTTGGGAATTTGAGCTGCCATAAGAGTTGTCAGAATTCCCTCCTGTCAGATGGCTTTGGAAGTAATATTGGAGAGGAACATCATAACATTCTGACTGCAGATCTGGGAATTAATGTTGACTCTGTGTATGAAAGGCCCTTTGGAAGGACTAATACAAAAAGTTGTCAACAGCTGACAAAGAATCCTCCAGTTTCCACTCATCCATCCTATAGCGTCAGTAGCTATTCAACTCAGACATGGGTGCGCCAACAGCAAATGGCAATTGCTAATCAGTATATCAGTTCTCCAGAGAATGAAATTGGATTTGGTATTCATAACATAGTTGCAAATGTGGGAAACCTGGAAAATCAAGCCAGAGTTCCAAATACATTTCTCCAAAGTTCCAGCAGTAGGAGTGAGGTCCAAAGGAGGCTTGGGAGTATACCATCTTCTAGTAATGTGGCTGAAAAATTTGAACCAGAGGTTTATAAATTAAGATTTCTCTCTGAAAAAAGTGTAAATAATAATGAATTGAAACAGAATACAAGTAGCAGTGCTGGAGTTTTGCCATCTTCACCAACTTTGGATATTGATCAGTCAATTGAACAGCTAAACAGACTAATTTTGGACTTGGACCCAACATTTGAGCCTATTCCTACCCGCATTGGTGTTGTCAACAGAAATTCCGATCAGCTGGATGGCTTTGTCAGTCCTCAAAGAGATGAAGAAAGGCTTGGGAGGGGCTCTAGGATCCATGTGAAAACTGAGGTCATTACCAAAAACTCATCCCAGCAGGGTGAGTTGTTTTAAATACTATATTAATGTGATGTGATTTCTTTTTTACAAAAAGCTCCATTTGATAGTTAATAATATGACTAACAGTTAAAATAACATCTGAGCAATGGAGTGTGTGAATGCCTTCTTTTCATAGACCCGGGGAATGTTTAGAGAAAACTGAACAGTTGTTCATTTTTTTAATTAACTGATTTTTCTCTACCTCTCATATGAAAGAAGTTTAGTCTTACAAGACTGTCTTTGTATGCTTCATTACATTATACACTCTAATTATGGCAAGTTGAATTCTAAGCTTGGAAAAATAAATTTCCAGATTCTAGTGCATCAATCACAGCTCTTACTTAGCACCCCATTTTTTAATTCTTCTTATTTTTGTTGCTAGATGCTTCCTAAAACATGGTGGCAAGAAAGGAGGGAAAAGATGAGTTGTCAGTCAAATATCAGCTTTTTAAATTTGAAAGAATTAATATCTGCAGTACCATGATTAAACTGTGAAATTATGAAACTAATATAAGACTTTTTAAGCTATCCCTCTCAAGCATTTTTTCACAACTACTTTTTGAATGGCCCATGACTTATATCATGCTGTGTTAAAACCTCCTATTCAAATCATGTTTTTGGCAGAAGCAATCCACATTTTGCAATCTGGAGGGACACTTTCGATTTTCAAGCTGTTTTTGAGCCTGGGAGTGAGATTTGGCAGCAATACATTGATGTCATACTTCAACTATCAATTAAGCAATATCAGCTTATGAATCTCATCTCTGGCTAAGTAGGGCATCTCTGTTGTAGTCCCAGTTCTCAAAAAAGCATCCCCTAGGATATTTTTATTGATTCTCCATACAAGTTTTCAAGAAGAGACTGGACAGTCAATTACCTAGATTGGTATTGGATCACCAGCTTGAGCAGAGGACTGGTTTAGAAGACTTTCAAGGTCCCTTCCAACCCTGTCAGTCTATGCTCTTTTTGCATAACAATAATCTTTCTACTGAAAAACTTTTGTTGGTTTAAATGAGCTTCTATACTGAGAATTAGTTGAAACTATGCCCCCATCTCTCTCTGTCTCTCTCTCTCTTTCTCTCTCTCTCTCCCTCCCTCCCTCCCTCCCTCTCTCTCCCTCCTTTCCCTCCTATAAACACCCATGTATTCATGGAACTTTGAAGTGATGAACAGAAATAAAAACTAAACTATGCGATCCAAAAGTTGCATTATAGATATCAAACTACATCTTCACTAGGACTCATCCCAGCCCAGAATTTGTGGGAAGAGTCAAATTTTTGCAACTTTTGGAAAGTCCAACAGGGACGGAACTGTCTACATATTAGGAAGCTATCTCAAAACAGGCTTCGTGATAAAGAATGCACTTCCAGATACCCACTAGGTGAAACTGCTTCACCAATGAAACCTGCTGGAGCAGATCTATTGGGATGGGCTAAACCTATTAGGCATCATTTCTATATTATCCTTTTCTTAAGAAAGACCCTGACAGACCAGTCTAGTCCACTAAGTGAGATTTTAAAAATGGATTAAATAATTATTTCTCTAATATCATGTTCTGTTGGCATAATTGTTGGTCAGACAGATGATAATAAAAAATCCATAGGTGAAAAATATCATTTTTCCATTCTCCATTTAATTATATAAACTGCATTGTGAATGCTATCCTATATCTGCCTTTTTTTGGCTAAACTAAAATTACTTCAACATTATTATTTACAGGGAATTACAACCTCTTGATAAATTTGGTTGAATATTCTATAGCTTTTCAAACTATGATAACTATAACTATATACAGGTCTACTAAGTTCGGGCCAATTTTTTAAAAAAAGACTATTGACAGAATAATAATAACAAATTCTTTTTAATTCCTTAATACTTTAGTCCAAACTGTTTCAACAGCAGCATAATGAGTCAACATTCTTATTCAATCTTACATGATACACAACTCAAAAATATTAATTCTTAAATTATTAGGCAGATTTAATTAGTATTTAAGTCAGGATTACTTCCACCATGTATATCACTTTATAAGTATTTGATTGAATATTTGACATTTTAATCATTTCCTTTGAAAATATTCATTTTGGTTTTTTTAAATAATAATTGTATTAAATATAATTACAATAAAAATTAATGAAAACTCAAAAATTGAAGAATGAAAGAGTAGAATATTCAGAAAGGGAAAAACAGAAATAAAAAGAAAAAATATAGTAAATAAAAATGTATAAAGAAGTTCATTATAAATATCAACAATTTAGTAATTTATCATCTCTTAATATACAAGAAATGATTACATTGCAATATTATATTTCTTATCTATATACAATTCTATATACATCACAATTTCTGTTCTAATATTAGCCTAATAAGTATTAGTATAAATATATTAAGGCTTACAATTTTAACTTTGGTCCAATAAACCAACTTTATATTCCTTTCTTTTATTTCTAAATATCCTAATTCTTAATTTCTTTGAATAACATTATTGATTTTCTTACTTCGTTGTTGTTGTTCCTTCTTGTAAAATTCTTCAAAATCTAAATTAAGGCCCTTTTATAAATTCAATATAGAATAACTGTCCAAATAATTCCCTTGGTTGGTTGGTTGGTTATATATCCATTTTAATTATTAAGACATCAGCCAATTTTTATATGTCCAATTTAGTATTCCCCCCCCCCGATGTTTTTCTTGTAGAAATCCACTTTTAATTCAATCTCTGTCTAGACTTAATTTATCTGTAATGGCAGATGCTATTAAAATTAACTATTGAATCCATTGTTCAAAAATATCCTTCAATGCTTTTTGTTTTCTTTTTCCTTTTCCCTTATACTTTTCCCTTTCCTACTTTCCCATAATTTTCTTTATTTTTTCTATTTTATAATTTGATAAACCAATTATTTTTAAATAAGCCTACAATATGTCCAATGTTAAAATATTCTGCTTCATTTTGTAATTGAAAATCAAGTTTAAATGTTCTTATCCTTTAAATGTAACACAGTATTTAGTTGGCTCTAATTCCATCTAGTGCCCATTTTAAAAAATGTTATTATTTTTCAAAGCAAAAGCATTTTACATGGGAAAGATTCTTTATAATTAATTCCAAAATCTTCGTGGTTAGAATGCAGTATTGCAGGCTAACTCTGCCAACTACCAGATATCCAACATTACACTCATATTATCTTTTAGTTGTATTTTGGGTAGAAAACCCCATTGATCTTCATGTATGTAGTCTCGTAAAACTTTGTTTAGTCTTTCAGCTAAAATAAATGTAAAAAATTTATAATCATTATGAAAAATTAAAATTAGCTTGTAATTCTTCACAGAAGTTAAGTTCTGCCTTTTTTGGATTTTAAAGATATGTAGGTATCTTTCCATAAATCCACTGCAGATTTCCCCTGTAAAATTGAATTCATTAAGTCCTTCATCAGAAAAAGATTTTGATCTTAAGAAATTGTATAGATTCCATTTAATAAACCATCAGGTCCCAGCGCTTTATTGTCTCTTTTAATTGCTTCTGTTAGTCCAAAGATTGTTATTGGGTTGTTCAGAATTTGCTTATAGTTTTTTGATAATTTAGGAAGATTTTGAGTTGATATATAATCATCAATACTTTCTAAAGAGATTTCCCATTTCTTATATAGATTAATATAATAGTTAAAAATATTTGAATATTTTTATTATACATTTTTATCTTTAGGTTTTCAAGATGATGGCATATTAAATGGGAAAAACAAGAAGTTAAATCCTGAATCTTATGACAATGATATTGCAACACAATCAATATGCAGAAAGTATAGATGGAAAAAATCTGATGTCCTTGACCATTCTTTAGGACAGGACTTCTTTGCCTCTGCAATAAAAGCCAAAGAGGTAGGAGGAAAATGATTAAAATAAATTGGCATACTTGTCTCAACTTATTTTTTTAAAATAGTAATATTTAAAAAGAAGCATAAAATATTTCAATTTTTAAAATGTGATTTGTGGATGCTGTTATTCTATAAATGGCAATCAATGATAATCTATTAGCAATTAGGGGAAATATTTATAGTTCAGGGTTGAAATAAAGGGTCATTGGTGGTTTCTGAGCTTGCTTGTTTTCTTGCAGATGTTTCATTAGACAAATTAGGTTCTTGACAGAGGCTTGCCCAATCACCGTTGGGTGGGAGTGGTCTTGAAGTTTCTTTGATCTGTTTGATTCTGTTTACTATTAGCTTGTTTAATAGTTCCTTCATTGAAGCATTCTTTGCTTGCTGCTTGTTGGTTTGATATTAATCTTGATGTTAATCTAAACACATTTGAATGTTGATTGCTGGTAGAAAGGTGTTTGGTCTTTTTGGTCCAAAACCCTGACAGGGAAGCCATTAGAATATAAAGGAAACCCTACTCGTTACTAGTACTGATGATGTTACCTAGTTTATGTAATGAAATATCTGCAAGAAAATCACCAAACTCAGAAAGGTCCAAGGAATCCTCAGTAATCTGTTATCCTGATTCTTGACCTGCCAGAATGGGAATCAAATTAAAAGTAGAGAAGAATGAAATTTTGAAATAATGTACAAAGGTGTTCCTATGCCAAGTGATTTTTTGTGAACTACCACATGTTTGTATGCAACTTTGGACACTTTTTAAAAGGCATATAATATATATTAGTTGTTTTCTTCTGTTAATCAAATGCTTTTTGGTATGTTCTTTGACAGTCACTTAGCTCCTTGCATTACTAATTTATTTTTCAATTAATAAAAAATAAAATGGAAATTTAGATGCTTGCAACAGTACAATCTCTTAAAAGTGTGGCAGCCTCCAAAATTATTTTTATTTCCAAGTGGACTTCTGAGTTTCAAGTGTGCCCTCACAGGCATTCTTGGAATATAAAAATGGCAAATTTATATTCTAAGAATATTTTTATATTCCAAGAATGCCTATGAGGATACACACTTTGTTTGAAAATGTACAAATCAATCAGGGGTGGGTTCCTCCCTGTTTGCACAGGTTCGCATGAACTGGTTCGTCGGTGAACCCGGAAATAATTAACTTCCGGGAACACTGGTACTGGTCCTGGCCCGTCGCTGCAAAGTGCCCTTTTGCCAGCGCGTCGCAGCTCACTTGCTCATTCCCCTGCCCATCCGCAGCTCGCTCCCCGCCCATCCGCACTAAGCCCAGCCTGCCGCTCACTGATTGGCTGGAGTCCAGCCAATCAGTGAACGGGCTGGAGGCGAACCAAAGCTTTTTTTGTGCTTGACCACCATTTGAAAATTCCCTTCAGCCTTTGCTTGCTGCTTCCCCCTCAGGTAAGCAACAAAGCCCCAGCAGCGGGACTCGGGAGGCTTCGGGTGGGTGGCAGCGGCCCAGCTTTCGTGAGGGAAGGCCTCCAGGCCTTCGCTCACAAAAGCTGCGGGCTCGCGTGCACTACGTGGCCGAAGGCGGGGGGGGGCGGCGGTAGCGGCAGCGGCAGTAGCAGTGTTAGCGCCGTTGGCGTTAGTGGCGGCGTCGGCGTTAGCGGCTGAAGTGGGGGGGGTGGCCTAGCTTTCGCGAGGGAAGGCCTCCAGGCCTTCTCTTGCAAAAGCCATGGGCTCGCGTGCACTACGTGGCCGAAGGCGGCGTTAGCGGCGTTAGCGGTGGCGGCGGCAGTAGCGGCGGCGGTGGCGGTGGCAGTAGCGGCGGCGGTGGCGGCGGTGGCGGCGGTGGCGGCGGTAGTGGCGGTGGCGGCGGTGGTAGCGGCGGTGGTGGTAGCGGCGGGGGTAGTGGCGGTAGCGGCGGTAGCGGCTGAAGTGGGGGACGGCAGCCTAGCTTTCGCAAGGGAAGTCCTCCAGGCCTTCCCTTGGAAAAGCCGCGGGCTCGCGTGCACTACCCGGCTGAAGGCGGGGGGCGATAGCGGCGGTGGTGGCATTAGCAAGCCACTCCCATCCGGTCACATGGGTGGCAAGCCACACCCACAAAGGAGGCCACACCCACCGAGTAGGTTCAAACAATTTTTGAAACCCACCCCTGAAATCAATCCAAACTAAAAGAAGAATAAAGATTAATTTGAAAGTGGATTGCTGAGCTGCACAGTGCATTCAAATTAGACAATTCATGAAGCATGTTGGTTAAATGAAGCATCTCCTTGCCCAAAGCATTGAAACTGACACACTCCAAAGAAAGCTTGCACTATTGCTTCAAAGATTTTCCAAGTTTCTTTGTGCACAAATGCATGCACAAATATTTTGCTGACTGATTTAGCAAAGATGTTGTCTATGTATATGAATTGTTGCAAAGACAACTAGGGCAAACCTTGAAATGTACACGCGTGCACATGCACACATGCACTCACCTCCCCTTTTGCATCTATTTTAATTCAAGTAATGTTTTATAACAGACTACACTGACAACCAGTTTGTCACAGCACTCTTAACATGCTTCGAACTTCCAAAACCCCATGAGGCCTGATAAAGTCATGTCAGTTCTTTTTTCCACATGAAGACATTTTAGTAAAATAAAAATGAACAAAGAGCAAACATTTTAAAGTGTTAGCGTTAGGGTAGGGTTATGATAACTGTTCAAAGGATTTTAATAGATTGAATATTGGGCCTGAACAAAATGCTGTTCAATAGTGAAAAATGATATAAAGATAAAATAGGTGGTACCTTGCTTTGCATTATTACTTCTGAGAAGAATCAGAAGGCTAGCATGAGATAAAAATCTTCCAATATTTAAAGATATCACAAAGAAGACAGTAGTGACATTAATTAATGTCTGAACCTAGGACAAAAATTGGTTTGTGGAATCGGGTGGGATTCACTACCAACTTTACTACCGGTTTGCTGAGCGCGCGCTTTGCACACAGTTAAGAGAAAATTGAACTTCCACATTGAAAACAAGGAAAGGAGCAAGGAAAACAGCTGAGGAGCAGCAATTCAATCTGCTGCCCCTGATCAGCTGGGCTTCAGAAGCAGAAATAAAGGTTTGTAGAATGCAGGGGCAGGCAAGTGGGCCCACTTTCACAGAAACAGAGAACTGGTTCGCTCTCAGCTTGAAGTCAGAGCTACTGGCTCAGGCGAACAGGTCTGAACCAGTACGTTTGACGTTTATTAGGACTTGTATGCCGCCCACTCTCGAGAGACTCAGGGTGGCTTACAGATAAAGCAGGGAGGGGGAACATATAAAAATTAAAAGTACAGACATTAAAATCACACAACATTCATAATATAAAATGGGGCTGGCTAAATCAACAGCCCAGGCCTGCTGGAAGAGCTAGGTCTTAATCGCTTTGCGGAAGGTCGGGAGAGTAGTAAGGGTCCGGATCTCCACGGGGAGGTCGTTCCATAGGGCTGGAGCAGCTACAGAGAAGGCCCTCCCCCGGGGGGGGGGAGGTCACCAGCCGACATTGGCTGGCAGATGGAATCCAGAAGAGGCCTAACCTGTGCGATCTTATAGGTCTCTGGGAAGTAAATGGCAGGTAGCCAGGTCCTAAACCATGAAGGGCTTTAAAAGTAACAACTAGCACCTTGAAACGTGTCCGTAGATCAATAGGAAGCCAGTGCAGCTCACGGAGGACAGGTGTAACGTGGGTGTACCTAGGCACGCCCACAATTGCTCGTGCAGCTGCATTCTGGACTAACTGGAGTCTTCAAGGGCAGCCCCATCTAGAGCGTGTTACAGTAATCCAGTCTTGAGGTGACGAGGGCGTGAGTGACTATCCAAAGGGCCTCCTGGTCCAGATAGGGTCGCAACTGGTGCACCAGGCATACCTGGGCAAAGGCCCCCCTGGTCACAACCGACAAGTGATGTTCTAACATCAGCTGCGGATCCAGGAGGCCCCCCAAATTGCGAACCCTCTCTCAGGGGCGTATAGTTTCACCCCCCAGGCTAAGAGATGGAATAGCTGAGAATCCTTGGGAGGGAGCATCAATAGCCACTTGGTCTTGTCGGGATTGAGTGCAAGCTTGTTCGCTCCCATCCAGACCCTGACAGGCACTGGCACATCACTTCTACCGCTTCGCTGAGTTGGCATGGGGCGGACAGATACAATTGTGTATTGTCCGCGTATTGGTGGTATTTAACCCCATGCTGGCGTATGATCTCACCCAAGGATTCTTGTAGATGTTAAATAGGAGGGGGGACGGGACCGAACCCTGCAGCACCTCATA